CCCTGGTAGGTGGTGCCGTGGGGTAGGGGAGTAGGGCGGGCCCAAGCGCCACGGGGTGGGTGGGGCCGAGCAGGGCGCGGCGCTGTCCAGAGTCCACTGGGGAACCCAGTAGCCCGGTAGGGGCTGTGGAGTGTTTCGGGCAGCAGAAGGGTTAGGGGAACAGCTTTATCAGAGATTGGTCGTTACTCAGAATCTAGTTTGTTGGATTAGATTTAGGCTTGAGCCCTCTTAGTATCCTCCCTTCAGGTTCCAGCAGTGTTACTAAATGCAGTGTATTTGCCTCTTTCCCTGACTGGATTTGTTCTGGAAGCTCTTCTTTCCACCAATGTGTAGTGGGGATACCCGAAGAATCCCTCCGTACTCCAACACTAAGTCTCTCATATGCCAGAGTTTTGGCAGACATTGGGCATTGTGTACAGTATGACCACGGTCATGTGTCTGATACTGCAGTCTAATGTGTCAAACAGGAAAAAATATTTAGCAGATGCTTTTACTAGGCATCTTCTTACATTTATATTTTCAAAGCCAATAGCTTCTAAGTATTTCATATCCGATCATTGAACATTTGCTGGATCAGCTGCCCAAGTGTGAAATACTAACAGGCCGCAGGAGGTGCTAGAGTTAGTCTTTAGCTAGGACAGATGTGTCGAGTAATTTTTAAATTGATTGAGATCTAAAAGCACTCTTCATCCTTGTTTTAACTGTTCTGACGCCTTGGTTCACTTTATAGTTAACAAAAAAGCAGTTTTTCCCTTTGATGACTCGTCTCTCTCATTTTACCATGTAGCCACAGACCTCAATCACTGGTGCTTTCATTCAGCAAAGGCTGACTGCCTGGCAGGAGCCAAACATAGTGCTAGGTACTAGGGATTCAAAGTTGAACACAAGAGCACATGGAACACTGGAGAAAATAAACCTGTTAACAAATTATTATAGTAAACTGTGACACCTGCTTTAGTGGGGATGTGTATCCAGTGCAGTGGAAAGCCAGGCGTGTAAATCTCTGGCCACATGTAAATCTCTCAGTGGCCAGAGATTACATGTGACTTTGCTCAAGTAGTGACATTTAAATTGAATACTGACAGACTACAGAGTCTCACTGAAAAGAGAAAGGTGAATGAGTAGTACAGTACCAGCATTTGGCAAATGCAGAATGTATAGAGATATGAAAGAACTCATCCTGTACTGGGGGGAGAAACAACTCAGTCAAGGCGTTTCTCAAAGTGTTATGTATCGACCGTGGACATCAGAATCACTGTCCAAGAATCAGTTGGTTGTTGATAGACCATATCTTTTTTCTTTTTAAAATTAAGACTACAGACTTTATTTTGATTTTACTAGTTTTTCCACTAATGTCTTTTTTATTTTCCTAGAATCTAATCCAAGATATGATGCTGCATTTAGTCATTACATCTCCTTATTCTTCTCAATCTGTGACAGCTTCTCAGTTTTTCTCTGTTTTTCATGACCTTGACATTTTTAAAGAGGACTGGTCAGATATTCTGTAGAATGTTCCTCATTTGCATTTATCTGATGTTTCCTCATGATTAGACCAGGGTTTTGGATTTTGGGGATGAATACCACGAAGATGAAGTGCCTTCTCATTGCATTATGTCAGGGGTACGTGATAGCAATATGACTTATTACTGGTGTTATTAACCTTGATCACTGGGTTTGGTGAATAATTTTTTTTTTTACTTTTATTTTAGGTTTAGAGGTACATGTGCAGGTTTGTTATATAAGTAAATTGCATGTCATAGGGGTTTGCAATTTAGATTATTTTGCATAGATTATTTTATCACACTGGTAATAAGCATAGTACCCAATAGGTATTTTTTTTTTATCCTATGCCTCCTCCTACCCTTCACCCTCTAGTGGGGCCCGGTGTCTTTTCTCTTGATAGGACCTTATCTTAAACCTCAGTGGAAGCCAATGAAGGCAAGCCATGCATTTTGAGAAAAATTACTCTGCATCAGTATAGAGAATAGAGGAGGCAGAGTTTCAGAATATTGTGATGACAGATGCTTTGACTGTCGGCCAGCTTGGGGCAGTGCTGTGGGGCTGGTGAGGCCTGGCTGTATTTGCATTTGAGAATCACTTAGGAGGTAAATTTATTTACTCGATAACTGAACAAGGAGATAGAAGTGGAAGCAGCTTGGGATTGTGGGTGATGTCATGTTAAGTTTGAGGTTCTTGGAGGTATTTGGGAGACGGGGTGGGGTCAGTTTGAGTTTCAGTGGTTATTAGGTTCCAGGCAATAGACCAGAAGGAAAGCATTTCACTGGGGAATGTAGTTATCTTTCTTAATTTGAGTTACTTGTCAGGCTGCAGTTTTGTGGATAAATAACTCCTTTGTCTTCTGGTGACACATGTTAAACCTTCATAAACAGGAAGGGGAATGGCAGCCTTTCCCAAAATATAGGGAAATCACATGAGAGAGAATATCTTACTTTTCAAGCTTAAAATAAGATTTTGTTATATTTAGTAAAGCCAATAAAATGTAACATTATTCATGGACTTGGACCTTTGACATTCTCAGAGGGTTCATCCATGACCTTGGTGAGTCTCCAAAATCATGAACGTCATCATGGCATATAATTTCCACCATAAAGTACAGTAAAGTGTAACTGAAAAATGTAAAGAATCTTTTCAGACTCTTAATGGTTCTATGAATATGGGGCCAAAGTAATTTCTAAAGCTACTTAAATAAATTTTGCCATTAAAACAAACTTTTTGGCCAGCACGGTGGCTCACCCCTGTAATTCCAGCACTTTGGGAGGCCGAGGCAGGTGGATCACGAGGTCAGGAGATCCAGACCATCATAACTAACACAGTGAAACCCGGCCTGTACTAAAAATACAAAAAATTAGCCGGGCGTGGTGCGGGGCGCCTGTAGTCCCAGCTACTCCAGAGGCTGAGGCAGGAGAATGGCGTGAAACCAGGAGGCGGAGCTTGCAGTGAGCCAAGATCGAGCCACTGCACTCCAGCCTGGGCGACAGGGCGAGACTCCGTCTCAAAAAAAAAAAAAAAAAAAAAAAGCTTCTTACTTCATTACCTTATATCTTTACCTTATTAACGCCCTATTACCCTTACTCTGTGAAGAAAAAAATTGATCACAGTATGAGAATTATTGTGTGGATGTCGATGAGAAAGGAAGGAGAGCTAAGTGGTACTGGGACACAAATCCCAGTGTTAGGAGTGGTCATTCACTAGCTGAGTGGCTGGCAAGTACAGTCTGGCCTCCTGGCAGCCCCATTCAAATTTCTGTCTCAGCAGATTACCTCATGACAGGGACGTTTTGGATTACTCACTGAGGGTTTTTATCATTCATGCATATTCAGTCTGCAAATGCCAATGCAGGGCTATCTGTAGCTCAAATGAAATCCCCAGAATTGCAACAGTTTCTCTGTGCTGCTCTTCTAAGTTTCTCTTTCTCTCTCCTCATGGTAAGTCCCTTGCCTCTATTAACACATTTAATGCTATTTCACAGTTCCTTGCTCACACTTTGTCTCTCCCAATAAGCTGTTCACTCCTCAAGAGAACGCATCATCATGCCCTGTTGCCCAGCCTAGTGCGTGGCACCTAGGTGCTCCTCAATAAACATTTGAATGACTAAAAGTATTCTTAAAAATCCAATAAAGCATTATTTCCCATATATCATATTTAGTAGAGTGCCAGTAAAATGTAACATGATTCACAGACATGGACCCTTGACATTCCCTATAAGCTTCCCTCTAAGCTCTGTCTCAATACCTGCAGCAAGCACATGTTTTTATTCTAATTCTTTCTGCACTGTACCTCTTTGTCCCCCGACTCCTTTCTTAATGTGCCTCCTTGATGTTAAGTGATGCCCTTTGTCTTCGAGCACTATACATGATCTCAAGGGTTATCAGTTCTAGACACCATGAAATGGGAAAACTGCAATGACAAGACCTTGACAGCAATCATTCCTTGTGAATAATTTCATTGGAGTTTATTCTCAGGGCACAGTACAAATGATCCTTTGTACTTCAAGCTTCTGATGTTCTTGGGCATGACAGAGCTCCTCAGTTCCCCGAGTTAGAGCTGTGCTGTACACTCTCCAGGATGCTGGCCTCTGTGCCCCTTTACAATCCACTCCTTCAGCTGTTGATGACTCGTTCCTTCCAGAAGCAGGGTAATCTCTGACTTTATT